TGTTAATTTTTTTTCTTCTTCATAGTATTTTTCTGGATTAAAGAATTCTGAAATAATCCTCCTTTTATGTTTTTATCCTTTAATCCCTTCACTTACTTGGACCATACAAAATATTATTGTATTTTCTTAGCCTTACCTATCAATATACAGTAACATGAAAGTATTTTATAATTCCAAATACAGTAGTGTACTGTATTGTGATAATTTTTCTGCTCTTCTGCAATCATTAACATATCATGAACTGTAAATGTAAACTCACACCTATTAAAAAAATTTATAACTGCTTTCCACTATGACAGTGACAAATACAGTTATATAAAATAACTGATAAACAATATCTGCCTTTTCCTGATAACCTCTCATATAATCTGTAACCCCTCCAGGATACTGTTCGTACAGTACAGTACTGTACATTTTATTTTAATACAATATCATAGTTTCCTAATTTGGCATGCCCAGTTGTCCACTGCATGCATTTTAAACAAAACTGAAAATCCAAGCTCTACATACCTGAAGAGCAATAATTCAATCATTAAGGGATCATTTCAGGGGTTCAAAGTTGGCACAATACTCTTTATGGGGCCTGTATGTGTACGTGCAGAAAGAAGACCTTTATAGTGAGTACATGAGCATGCTGCAGAGATGTATATTTCTCCAAGACACCTGAATTTTTTTACATGTCTACCTTCAAGGGCTCAAAGTTGGCATGAGACAAATTTTTAGGCCCAATAACACACTGAAAACATCTCCTTTACACAATTACACACACGTACAATTACACTTGCACTTACGACCTGCTTCAGTCGTATCAAAATTTTGTCAAATTACATATTTTCGAGTCCCAACGTCAGTACACAGAAAAATTTTTCGTTTGTAATTCACTTTAAAATGGCTGGCATGCTTAAAAGTGAGAGTTTTGTGGTGCTGAGAAGAAAAAGAGAACCATTTTAGATTTTCTATGTATTATTTAAACATTTTCGACTTACGACCATTTCGACTTATGGCCTGGATTTGGGTCCCTAACCCCATCGTAAGTCAGGGAGGAGCTGTATATATATACTGTATACAGTCGGCCCTTAACATACGCGGGGGTTAGGTAATAGAGATACCCGTGAATGTTAAGAATCTGCGTATTTTTGCTGCCCCCCTAAAAACACCCCTGGCCCCCCATGTCCTTATTTAAGTAAAGAAAAACACTATGTATATATTTACAAACACTTTATTTAATATTAAAATGCAAAAAGAGCTATAAAAACAATTAATAATGTACTGGCTGGCATCTCCACTCGTCCCTGCTCCCGCCTCCAGAGCGTCACCACTCGTCCCCGCTTTATCCTTACGCCTCCACATCATCACTACTGCCGACAACAAACACAAATGTTTTGTGAATAACTGTACCTCCACTTCCTATGTACAGTACTGAACTGTACTGTGCTGTGCATTTTTACAAACAATAAACATGGCAAGAAAAGCTATAAAAAAGAGAGATAAAAATTTCACTTTACTGTACCGTACCTATCCTCGGCGACAGGAGGGGGGGTCATCGGGGTCATCATCACTCGTTTCCATAGCTGGTGGTGAAGTGGGGGCGACGGTGGGTTCAGCTGCTTCCTAACTGCTGCCAGTGATGGATGGTGTTGTATCTCTCCTTCGGCGATCAAAGAACATGATGATAGGGAGTTGTTGTCTCTTTTTCATTTCTTCCATGATGTTTTTGTATGGAGCAAAAAGTCATCCATCCCTCGCATGAATTTCAGGGCACGCACCATGGAGGGGTCCATACCACAGGCCAGGTTTTTCAGTGCTTCAATATACCTGGTCATCTCCCCCAGATTCTCCAGCGTTATTTCTTGTAGCTGATGTCAACACAAGCGTGGTTACAGCGAGACTGACTGACTGAGGGAGCGCGGAAACGCAGGGTGGCGTGGCGGGCTATGTGTGTGTGGTGTGGCGTGTGGTGTGGCGAGCGGTGTGCAGTGTGTGGTGTCGCGCACGATTTGAATGTACAGTATATTCCTCAAGCGGCAATCCGCGTATTTACAAATCCGTGTATGTTAAGGGCTGACTGTGTGTGTGTGTGTATATATATATATATATATATATATATATATATATATATATATATATATATATATATATATATATATATATATATATATATATATATATATATATATATATATATATATATATATATATATATATATATATATATATATATATATATATATATATATATATATACATACATACATACATACATACATACATACATATATATATATATATATATATATATATATATATATATATATATATATATATATATATATATATATATATATATATATATATATATATATATATATATATATATATATATATATACATACACCAGTTCCCTCGGTTAACGAAATTTGTTAACGAATTCCTTAAATTTTTCCCAACATATGTTTGCCTGCTCACCAGCTGTAGTATTAGTCCGCCAATACAGTAATCGGTTTTAGGGCTTAAATTCGTTACCATTTGAGTAAATATCAAGAAGGTTGTACTATTCAATAATTTTCCAAGTCTTATATTAAAGGTTTTAGTCATTTTAACAATTATTTAACATAATTGAAGTACAGGGAACTAGTTTTTAGCACGCCAGGGAACTAGTTTTTAGCACGCCAAACAGCCACTCAACACACCCAAAATGGCGTCAGTGTGTGTCCCTGCTCAGTGGAGGAAGCTTCTTGCTTGAGACTCTCTTGAACATAAACTATTTTTACGTTTTTACAGTACAATTATTGGTCATTCTGAAGTTTGTTTTACATATTGACAATATATAATGCAATGCAGTGTTGATTTAAAGAAAATAATCTTAAATTACACCAAGTGAACTAAAATTTTATGGGTGAAATGGCAGCATGGGGTGACTTCTCTTCCACCCCCACTGCCTTCTCTTCTCCCTTCTCCTCCACCCCCATTCTAATTCCCATAATCATCATCATCATCAACCAGGAGCCTTCTACATGCACGCCTCAAAGTAAGTGTGCTTTACTGCATTTATTTTTAGTTTATATGTAATTTTCAGTGAGCTGGAACCAATTACCCAAAATCCCATAGAAACAACGGTTTCGGTTAAGAAAATTTTCAGTTAACGAACGACCTTCTGGAACGAATTGTGTTCGTTAACCGAGGGACCACTGTAGCATCATGCCAACTCTGACCTCCTGATATGACCTTTTAAGAAATAATCCTAGTTACAAGATTAACAATAATCCACAATATGTTGGTACACTTAACAGAATGATGGACAAACTATCATACTAGGGAACAATAAATATGATCACTATTATTTGCTCTACCCAAAAATATACACAGTTTACATACATATTTTACTGAAATATATATTGTAGCCTAAGTGTCTATTCACTGGTAACCTGTTTTGTTGTTAGTTGTTAATAAGCTACAGTACTGTACTAGCAGACAAACACCTCAGCTTCAGCTCTCTACTGCCCATATGTGCCACATATATATTATACCGCTTCACTAATAATGATGCACAAAATATCTTTCATAATTACAGATTAGGGTTAGGATGGTCAATCTTTGACTTAGGCTTGCCTCTGGGTTTGTCAATTTAACATCATTTACATATTTCACATTGTATGAAGCAGAAATACACAGAAATATTGTTGAGTGCACAACTGAGAGACAAACAAGTTGTCATTTACTTAAGCTACCAAAGGACACAGTCCTTATTGGGTTATACAGTAAATATGATATACCTGTACTGTATTGTCAATTTGTCCTTAGATAAGTCAAACCAACCCAACTGAACCTGATGTATATACAGTTTTGCATAACCCAAGTTAAGTATGTGTCAGTATATTTGGTTTGATTGTCTTCAAAGTATTACCGTACTGTACCATTTTCTCTACCAGTTTTACTGTCATCAATTGGCTCGTATGGAGAAAGAAGACATGGTTCTCTGAATTCAACCCCTTTTTCTCTCCCAGTTTCACTTCAAAATAATTTTCTATGCATCTGCACCTCATATTATGCAAACGATAAAATTAACCGATGAAATTAAACAGCTGAGAGGCATGCATTAGTTGAAGAGTGACTAGGGTTATATGAAGCAATATGAGGTTCATTAACTGATATTAGAAATGTAACTGTTCGAGAGATGTTAAAAATGGTGTAAGGTAGTGTCATAAGTAGTGATGGATGGTGTTCAGAAAGATATTAGGTCCTGTTACAGACTTACGGGTGGGTCTGGTGAAAATGGTCAAGGCGACTTTATGTTGACCGGTGTGAAGGGGTGATGCTGTATGCATTGTTGAAGTGATGGTATCATGGTTAGTGTTGGGTGGTGTTAGGTGTTGCTGGGGGTGTGGTCAGGATATGATAGGTCACTGAAGTTGGGTTTGGCAATGTAGGGTCATAAGACAGTATTAGGGTTGGAGCCTAACAATGTTTGGAATAAGGTCAAACAATATCAGAGGTGGAGTCAGACAATACTAGGAGTAAGAGAGTTGATAAATGTCAGGCAAAATTATTAGTTCAGTCTCGGGGTCGGATTTTCCTATGGGTGGTGTATGGCCCTAGAAAGGGTAAGGTTGGGCAGTGTTAAAGGTGTGTTTAAGCACTATTGGGAAAAATCAGGCAATGTTTGGGCTGGAAGTAGTATGCAGGAGGTGGAGGAAGGGTGGGGTAGGTACTACAAGAGGTGGGGGAAGGATGAGGTTGGTACTACTTGGGGTGGAGGAGGGGTGGGGTTGGTACTACAGGAAGGGAAGGAATGGGAGGAGGGGAAGTTGGTACTAATGGCAGTGGGTTTAGGAAATATTAAGAGGGGACCAGTGTGTTGGGGGGTGGGGGGGGGGCTGGTACAGTCAGGGATGCGGGGAAAAGTTCGAGACAGTACTTTTAGGGATGAGGGCCAGGCATTATTATGAGTGGGTGGAGAGGAAGAACAAGCTACCATGAGAACAGTAACGTGGCTGACTTACATTGGTGATCAAGTTGTCAAGGATGTACTGTAAAGAAAATTAAAAGGGTTTCAGATGACGGTTTTTTGTCAATTATAAAGAAAAATTGCTTCCCAAGGCTTTATATGTTGGTTATGGTGAAAAAGAAATTATTACAGAAAGAAAACACAGACATAAAAGGTTTGGATTTCACTGTCTAGTTACTTGGTAATTTAATGTGACATGAGGTGGGTTAGGTACATATAGGCAGGTCTGTTCATCATATAGAAACAAATGACTGAAAAAAAAATTTCTCGGATTTCATGACAAACAGTTTATTATTCTGATGATGTCTAATTACAAAGTAACTATACCATATTAGTCTTATATCAGTGATCTATTTCTAACAAGCCATAAACAAATACCTCCCAGCAGTTAATAAAATCATCACTTGTTAAACATTTCAGAATGCTCAGCAAATACATAATGACTTGCTTACTACCCAATGGCAACTGATCGCGCATGAGATATCACAGGATCGTTTGGTTTCTCATTTACCACTACTGTATAATGAATATAATTGCGGCCACCTAGTCAGTCCCACTGCTTTACATACTGAAAGTATTATTAACTGCCAAACAGAAATTAGTAGTTGATAATTCATTGCAATCATAAATGGGGAATTGATCCTGAAATTCTGAGGTTTTGCAAAAACCCCTGCCAGGCAGTCTGCTCAATACAATCTTCTTTCTAAGGGGTTCCATGTCTTCACACAATCAATTATTATATCAGCCAGGGTTAATCTGTTAAGTCATTTTGAGTAAAACAATCACACTGCCCTCTCATCACACCCATCACCTTAACAGGAGGAGCTAAGGTGCAGCACTTGTCTTCTGGAGGAAGGTGGTTTATTAGTCATGTCTATCTAATCTGCACACTTTATGCCCAAGCTGGGCTCTGCCATCTTTGTTTCTAAGTCAATCCACCATTTAAAGTAGTAGCAGAAAAAGGAACAAGACAGTTTGACATCACTGCCAATAACCCCACTAAACCATCACTAAACCTAAAACTAACATACACCATCTAAGAGACTAGGGAGACAACCCTAGAATATCCAAAGAGAAAGATTATGAAAGAGAAAATAAGGATAGCCAACTGTACCTATTTAATATATGAAGCAAAACAAGGGTTGGACTATGGAGAGGCTTTAGATAAACCCCAATCACAATAGGATACCTATACCTGTTAGGTCAGAAAGGAGCTATTAGGAATATAATTAGGTATGTGAATCTGAAGCTTCCCTAAATATAATCTGGAGTAGACCGGTAAAGGTAGGTACAATACTGTAAAATACATATCTACTCCCAAAAATCCCAATTCATAGAGAAAGCATCTACTCCATGTGCACTGTCCTCAGGTAAAGGTGAAGGTAAAGAATCCAGGAAATGGACTCATCATCTAAACTTCATTAAGACTGTAACATCTTATCAGTGGAAATCTGCTCAAATTTTCAATGTCCTGGCAATATACTTTGCAATGATACAGCACAAAACTTTGCTGTAGCATGAAAATAATCTTTGATGATATCCCACAAGCATTAAGACTCAGATGATCCCTGTTTTTTATTACAGACAAAAGCTGACATGTTGTACAAACAAATTAAATGATTCTTCCAGGAATTGGTTCTCTTTCCTAAAGAGGAAAAGAAGAGGAAGCATAATTTTATTTATGATAAGGTGGAAGACCCTCATTTGACCCTCCTTGGTATAAAGTAACCAACAACCAAGGTCAGATTCATCCATCCATACCAATAAATCATCACTTCAAGGAATAAAACCTCATGAATACTGAATTCACAGATGTGGATATCTTGGTTTGATGGGAAAGAGGGGTCAGGTTCCTGGGTCAGAGTGAAGAGCACACATTCACTCTCTGCAGCCACTAGGGCACAGTTAACACACTACCACACAGTTGCCACACTTTGCTTCAAGACTACACATAAACACATCTTTATCACATCAGTAAATAATGAATGTTGGAAAAAATGGCAGAGGAGAAAATGTCACAGGAAAAAATGACAGGAAAAAATGGCACAGAAAAAAATGGCACAAGAAAAAATGGCACAGGAAAAAATGGCACAGGAAAAAGTGGCAATAGGAAAATATGGCACCGGAAAAATAAGGCATAATCATCAGACTAGGAAAAAATGGCACATTAATTTTTACTGACATGCTTTCGCTAAAATTTTATAACCTAACCTAACCTATGCACGCCGTAGCTCATTAGCTCATTTGTGGTTCGTGAGTTTGAAGTGACATTTGCTGTGCCATTTTTTCCCGTGCCATTTTTTCCCATGCCATTTTTTCCAGTGCCATTTTTTCTGAATGCCGTAAATATTACCAAGTTGAAAAACTAAAGACAGATCAAGGCACTTGAATGACATTTCAACTCAAAAAGCCCACAATCAAAGATTTGAAAAACAGACTTATGAGAACTTTCACACTGTTGATATTATGTTTGGCTACCATTATTCTTCCATTCCTTAAAAACATGAACATACGTGAGAAATGGCAAATTTTTATGACCAATACACAAATACATGAATTTCTCAGAATGGGACATTTTTTACTTACTGTACAGTACATTGATGATGATTTGGTGGTGTTAGAAGGGTTTGTCAAACACTTTCCCTGATATTTTTTTTAATTTTCCTTATAGGACATTGGATTCATTCACTTCAAAAGACCTGCCCACTACAGATGCACTCACACACCTGTAGCCAGCCTGTCTAACACATTCACTTTTTTGCTCAAACTCATCACTTTCTTCCAGTAGACTCGTCTTCCCCACTCACCTTATGCTTAGAGGCCATGATTGAGGGCACACAATAATACAGTACGTACATAACACATATACATGATGGCAAGATGAAAAATTTAGCAAGGTGTTTGCAATTCAGAAACTGCAATGAGAAGGATGGACAGAGCGGGTGCACAGGGTGGGTTCACCACACTGTACGGACAAAGCAGAGATCAACATCTGTGCAACTTCCCCAATGATTTTGGTGGCAGGACAGGTGATGTCAGGGTTAAATGTTGGGCTCACAAACTCAAGAATACTAAAAGTTGATGCATCATGAATCGGGAAAAGGTATACATTTAGCAATTTGTGAATATAGGCAGTCCCCAATTCATGAAAGTTCGGTTTATGAAAATTCAAAATTATAAATATAATTTTTTGTCCCATGCTTCAATTTACATGTACAGTACTGTACATACAAAAACTGCAATACAGGCATTACAGTGTTTTTTTTTTTTTTTAATTTTGTCCTAAGTATAATAATGAAAATATGCTATACAGTCAACCCTTGTTATTCACGGGGGTTAAGTTCCAAGGAATGGCACAAATAGGCAAAACAGCAAATAGCAACTTATACTACCTTAGTGCACTACTGTGTACCTATACCAAACAACCGACCAGCCGCGGCAGCACTCATCCTCTCTTTTAACTTGTCTAATAATTCAATTTTCTTTGTCAGGGTCATCAATGAGTTCTGCCTCTTACATTTCACTCCACTAGCATCACTAGCATTGACACTAGGCAGTCTTTTAGGGGTCATTTCACACATAAACACTAAAGTTTTGAGAGTACAACACGAGATGCTGCGTCACATGCAATGGTTGAGCGCGAACAGAGGGAGAGGAGACACTGTGGGCGCGTGGGGTGACTCGTTGCACTGTGGGAAAAAACTCGTAAGCTAGCCACCATCCGCTTACCGCGAATCGTCGAAATCGCGAATGGCAAAGTTCTACTGTGCTGTATTAATGCAATTATTTTACTACTGTACCAGTATCCCTACTTATTTCATTAACTTATTTCATTATTCTCTAACACTCACAATGGTATTAGTTAACAATTACCTTTCTGTGTCATCATCTACAATCACCATTAGACTTCCCCCTAAACCTAACTGGAAAAATGGCATAGCCTAAAATTGGTTCAGAGTTCCGAATGGGAAGATATAGCTGTAATGTATTTCCTGTCCACGGGGGATAACTATTGCATCTGATCTACTCTTTTAGGCACAATAGGAGTGATGGGGAGAGAAGGGCAACTTTTAGCCAAAATGGATCAGCAGATTAATCCTGGCTGACATAATTGGGTCTTGTACTATGAGAGGCATGTGGCTGAAGGGCACAAGCCAATAAAACTCTAGTAATGGCAACATATTTACCACCACTTCAATATTAAGAGTAAGCCATGATAAATTCCTTCATATCAGCAACAGGCCTACACACACATGTATTTCACGCTTAACACACACTCACACATGAACGGCAGGTAAAGATTCCCTAATCCGCCCCCATATGTGCTAAAACTAGAACACAAGGAACATGAAACATCAATTGATGTTGGCCACCATTTAAAAGCTAAGTCCTCTTTTCACATGCTTATCAATATCAAACTGAAAATCTAACTGAAATTGCATGCTACCTGTGTATGTCTTCACATTTTGCTATCATTTATGATAAAGTTCTAAAAAATACTAATGTCATAGTATTAATTAAGTACACTTACTTTTGTCCACAATGTTAAATGTCTTACCAGAAGCAAGGAAAATGCAATGAAAGACAGCTAGTCGAAAGGTTAGGTTGGACCTTGAAATGAGTGAACAATTAGAAAACAAAGCCACTTAGACCTAATGTTAATTCAGGTCAACACAAACAACATGCAGCCAATAAGTCATGACATCTGAGGTGTAATTTACCTTTAAATCAGAGTATTGTAAACAATACACCTGGTGACTCATTAGTGTATCATGGGTAATCACGCCTTTATTGTTACAGCCAAGAAATTGACTGATAGTGCCTATTGATGTACTCTCATGCTTCATATAAAACATTCAGTGATGTACTGTACTCTCATGCGTCATATAAAACATTCAGTGATATTCTCTCATGCTTCAGGTAAAATGTTCAGATGTAAAATCATGCTTCATGTTAAAACACGGGGTGTAATGAAACAGCTTAAGAGCATGATAGCAAATTACATCCATATTTAGGTAACTTGTTAAATGGTACAGTTGTGGGTATTGTCCTGTACTCAGCAAAACAATTACGTAAAAAAAACACAACAAGAAAGGTATGTACAGTGACATTACGATACAGTACTCAGTAAAGCATCAATGCATAATACATTATGTACTTAAGTTTACATTCCTTAAATATACAGTATGATACTGGCAGGTACTTGTACTCCATTTCTTAAATTCGATACTGCACTGTACTGGCTACTCTATGACTTAGACTATTATAGGAAACCGAACAGATTTTATATTTTAGGTTCTGAGTACAGGACTGCTCATAGGTGAGTACAATACAGTACAGTACATGGTAATGGTTAATAGTATGTTAATGGTTGAGTATATGGTGATGGTGAATTTGGCGATGACTTGGTATATGGTAATGACTCAGTTTATAGTGATGACTCAGTATTTCACACTGTAGAGATGTATATACTGTACTGTTGTACCAATGAATGTAAGAAGGTAGTGAAAAATTATACAGTAATTTGGTGAAAATCATTGTGAGTTCTTGTTGAATGTTCATTAAAATTCCAGATGCCACTTAGATGCATCGATACATCAACTACAGTATATATGTCGGTGAGAACTAAATTAACAAAATACTGTACTGTGTACACTTGTGGAACCCACGAGACCATTGACATTACTGGGTGGGACTAATTCATAGATCAATTTTGCCTTCCTACCACAACTAAGCCCTGAAATGAATCTTCAGACAGAAATGACACCAAATAAAGTAGAAGACAATGCGTCATAAGTCACATTTACATGTGAGCTCTGTGCCTGTCAGCTAGGATAGCCATACTGCAATTATAGGCAACAACGCACTCAATCCCAGCGGACTTCCATGCTACCTATTGGATGAAGAAGGATATCCCAGTTGCCTGGTTCCAGGTTCAGCCATAAAATGGGATTCTATGGACAATCCTTCATTTATAGTCTAATGCCCATTTACTAGGTGACTCGTGTATTTGAAGTCATTTAGAAATTAAGAGGTGGAGGAGAAGATTATAAATTCCCCACCAGGTAATGTGATACACACCCCATTATAAGAGTTAACTCATCTGTAAATAAAAAAGTATTGTACAAGGATAAATAACCTTATACAGTCCCCAAACACCACATAATTCTCCAGTGTTAAGCTGGGCATCAAATATGACTTGTGAAGCAGATGGCTCAGCACCTCTTTGAGACTGGACACGAAAAGTTTCCCCAAAAGATCAAACTTTCACATTACAATCATGGTTTGATGCTCCTGCTCTCTTGCTTGCAGGGTGAGAGATGGGACATATCGAGCTATGAAACTATCTTCATCTCCTTTTACCCACACCTCTTTCATTACTTCTAGGAATTATTGTAAGGCTATTCTTCGTAGGGCCAAGAGGAATTTTATAAAAAGAAAGACCGCTGTCCTGACTAATTCTTCCTCGAGTAAATCCTTTTGGTCCTTAACTAAAAACATTTGTAACAACTTCTGCAGTACTTCTTTTCCTCCCCTCTTCCGACCCGATAACTCTATAGCCAACTCTCCCCTTGACAAAGCCAACCTCTTTGGCACCTTATTCTCCTCTAATTCCACCTTAGACAATTCCTACTCTACCCCTCCTACCCCTGCACCTCCTACTGAACCTATGCACTTTCCTATAATCTCCACTCGCAGGGTTGCCAGTGTGTTAACCAGGTTGGATGTGAGTAAGGCGCATGGACTGGACGGAATTCCCCCTCGTGTTCTGAGGGAGTGTGCTGAAGTTCTGGCCTCTGTGCTTGCTCTCCTCTTTTGCCTCTGCCTCAAAACCCAAACTTTTCCTTCTTCTTGGAAGCATGCCTTGGTTCAGCCCATCCTGAAGAACGGCGACCATTCAAATCCCTCTAACTATCGCCCCATTGCCCTAACTTCATCCCTCTCTAAGATTTTTGAAACTTTTAAACTATCTTGAACTCCCATTTTCACCGTCACCTCGAACGCCTTTCTCTTTTGGTAGGATCACCAGTATGGCTCTACCAGGCGAGATCTACTGGTGATCTGCTCTCCTATTGCACCCATCTTTGGTCATCCTCTCTTAGGGATTATGGGAAACTTTTCGTCGTACCTCGACATCTCCAAAGCATTTGACAGGGTATGGCACAAGTCTTTGCTATCTAAACTTCCCTCTTTTGGTTTCTCTCCCCTACTTTGTTTTCTCATCTCTAGCTTCCTTGAGAACCGATCCATGACAGTTGCTGTCGAGGGATCGATCTCTCGCTCATTCTCTACCAGTAGTGGCATCCCACAGGGTTCTGTTCTTTCACCTACTCTCTTCCTTCTTTTTTATCAATGATTTATTTCACACTACAACTAATTCTATCCATTCTTACGCTGATGATTCTACTCTTCACTCTTCTTCACATTTTCCCCTTCCTCCTAACTATCAAACTAGATCTGTTTCTAGAACTGATATCATTATTTCTATCAATGCGGGTCTGTGCAGCATCTCTGAATGGGGAGGTACAAACTTGTTCAAGTTCAATAGTAATAAAACTCAATAATTACTAATTACACTTTGTGAAGGAGACGACCTCCACCAATTACATTTCAGGACGCTATCACCATTTCCTCCAATATGTCCTGGAAATCACACATCCTTAATATAACTAAAGCTGCCTCCCGAAAGTTGAGAATGCTGTACAGATGCCGTAGCTACTTCACTCCTGAGCAGTTGCTCCAAGTATATAAGAGATTCATTCGTCCGAACTTGGAGTACTGCTCTCATTTCTGGGGTGGTTCTTCTTCTGTCCAACTATTAGATAGGGTGGAATCAAAGGCATTTCGTCTTATTAACTCTCCTCCTTTAGTCAACAATCTCTTCCCTTTCTCTTCGCCGCAATGTTGCTTCACTCTCTCTCTTTTACAGGTACTTTAACGGGCAATGTTCAGTGGATTTGGCATCCTGTGTACCGCCGGCAAAGCTGTGGGCTCGTAACACTCGTCTTGCCCACGGTGCCTACCATTTCTCTGTGGATGTCGGTCACACGAGAATAACCCGTTATAGTACCTCCTCCTTTCCTCACACAGCCAAACAGTGGAATGCTCTGCTTTCTTCTGTTTTTCCATACTTATACAATCTGTCTCACTTTAAAAAGCCAGTTTTCCGGGATCTTCGTGGTGTAGATTAATACAGTATAACTTTTTCTTCTCTATTTTCAATTTCTTTCTGTTCTCCCCGGCCCATTGTCAGTCGTTTGACCTGTGCTCAGGTGGGCTAATTCCAGTTAAAAAAACAAACAAAAAAGACATGATGTCCCCGAGTCTCAAGCTGTGATGGTGCAGGTGATTGAAAGAAACATATACAGTACGTATTGGTGAACAAGTTTTGGCCACATTTGAGAACCACCACCCTAATAACAGGAAGAAGTTAACTAAAGCATTTCCTGCACTCACCATCCCACCTACTGAACAAAAAATACAATAAAATATAAAAACAATTTAAAAGATAATCGAGTTATTTGACTGTGAAATCAGTTTCCTTGACACACCACGGATCCATAATTGGCTTATTTGCAAATGTAAATAGTCTTCACATCATGATGTCATGAAGACTAAATTTATTCTAATAATGTATTCTTATTAGAATAAATTTAGTCTTCATACTTTCTATATGGCTGACTTTGGTGAGAGGTGCAGACACAGTTCTGATGATCACTTCATATATCATTGTCTTCTAATTTAAATGGTGGCTATTGCTTCTAAAGATCCTTTCATAGATGTTGTTGTGACAGAAAAACATAACTAATTCATGCATTGGTGCCAGTCACACTTGTTGAGGGTCTCCTGGGTCTTAACCATAAACTTAGTACCTGTCGGAATAATACACAAATCACCAAGTGGATCGACATTAGTCCACAACATGAAATTTCAGGGACGGAGAAAACAATTACACCATCATGACAGTATATCTAAGAGTGAAGGTATCCAGCCTACTACATACACAAGACTTAAAACAAAATGAGAGCAAAGATACAAAAGACTGACAAACAACAAGAACTTATTGTACATGGACTGGCATGTAGCACAAAACTCAAGCAGATCACATGTCTTACCTTGCCCTTAGGTTCTTGTTTATCCTGAGATGGCATATAAGAGGAGGATGAAAGCCAAGATTACATTACCTTGTTGGTTAATCCTAATATCTTCTTTCTCACCCGTATGTAACCACACTGTTGAACTTTATGGTACAAATATTTTCCCTTATTTTTTATGACAAATATATTACTCAAAAGAGATATGAATGTGAAAAAATTGTTATACAGTATATCTAAGCCTGTAAACACTTCCAGGAGATATTTGTTAAAAAAGACCTATACTGTTATAATTATTCACTGAAATTCAGGCACCATTTGTGTATTATCAACACTTAACACAAAGTTAGCACCAACATCACACCTTACTATAGCTGCCTACAGTACCTTCTTTATTTCCAGGATGAAGGCAAAAGACATAGTACAGTATAGGTATAATGTACAGTACAGGTATACTGTACTGTACTGGACTTGTTAGCATCAAATAGTACCACTATGAAACATGAATAGTCTCTCTCTGCCATCTGGGTTTAGGTGTTACACAGCATACACATAGTGTAATACAAAGTTTATCTTATGGTAGGTAAAAATAGTATACAGTGCAAGTACTGATGCTAAAGAAAACAAATTTGCAGTTCACCTGTTACAAAAATCCTAAAGAGAGTTAATTCAGTTAATTTTTTATATACAGTAGTGTATAAAATATACTGTAAGAATAAACAGAGTAGGGAGAGCTACAGTATCTTTATTCTTAAATTATAAATGAAATCTACAATTCTACATCTAACATCTTAAAAAAAAGTAGATTAAAATTGTATGTACAGTATGTCATGTTAGTGCCTTGGTGAGTGGTGAAGATAAGAGTATCTGAAATGGATGGCCTAAGGCAATTAATCATCAAGTTAACACTAAGTATGGTAATTTGATGAAGTGTAAAAAAAAGATAAAAATATAACATTTACAGCACGAGATAAATATATGATGCCCCTATTGCCGATATTGGCCATAATTTTACTCGTGTTCCACTGTCTAGGGTATATAACTACTGTATAGTATAGCCTTATCTTACCCATTCTCCCTATGTTACATCTACTATGCCTCCAATTTCATATTCATGCTCAGATTGATTTTCCCATATATGTGTGTACTGTGCATATTTACCATAAACTAGTGAGTATCCATGAATAATGAAGGCATGGGGTAACTTCTAATCTAACAGAAAATACTGACCAGCAGGTAAGCATCTGTACTGGAAAGAAAATAAGGATGCATTGAGTGCACATTTACAATCTAAATTCTGAAGAACATTTCAAGTGACTCCTCAAATACAAGTTAGTTTGTAATTGTGGATGGGCCTTTGTCAGTACTTACTCTAGTCGTTTCCTCGCCACTAATGAAGACCCGTTGATAATGAGGCACATAGTCCATCTCATCCATGTCAAATCCTTTTTCATCTTCCTCATCTACAGCAGTTTCTGATGGTTCATATCTGGGTGCCCTTTCAACAGCCCTAAGGAATAAAAACATTAATACTCCCAATACCGTACTGTGCTTTAACTGGATCTCTTTTAGTATTAATGCTAAAAATAATTAAGTGGCAATTATGATAGTCACTAACTTTGTATAAAGCTTCATCAACTTTGTATAAAGCTGCCATTAAAATGCACTTTGTATAAAGCTGCCATTAACCTTAGACAAAGCTGTTAT